ACCCCAGGAGCGCCTAGACTGCCCCGCTGCCCGAGCCCCTCCGCAGCTTTGCTCTGCGTCTTCCTGGTCTGCAGACCAGGGAGACGCAGAGCAAAGCCCCAGAGTACACGGGCGGCAGGACCGCGAGGTCCCGCAGTCCGTGTACTCTGGGGCAGCCCCGTTCGTAACTGCGGATCTGACATAAGTCGGATCCGCGTAAGTTGGGGACTGCCTGTACATAGTATAAGGGTGTTCATCAAGGGGAAGTTGGCCTTTTGCTTGGATGGCAATACACGCGAGAGGCCTGGCCAGCAAAGAGCCTGCTTTCACACCTTCTTCCTTCCTTCCCAGTCTCGCCGGGCCTGGGATCTGTCAGCCTCTCTTATTCCTTCTTTCACGCCCTTAAGTTGCACTCCTGCCCCCTCAGTCCTCCTCCTTCCCAACACTGCTAGCCTGCCATATCCTTCCCTAATCTGCTCCCTGCACCAGTTATCCCTCCATTCTTCCAATTATTGTTCCCCATGAACTTGCTGAGTTGGCTTTGCCTGCCACCCTGGGGTCCTCAAACACTCCTCCATGCTCTCCTCCATCTCTGGAGCCTCTAAATCCCCCAAACTCTGTGCCCCTGGGATCCTTAGATCTCTCCCCTCCACAGTGCAGCCCCCAATACCATGTATTCAAGATAGTCAGTTATGTAGAGACCAAAGTAGGAAATGAACTCCACCACTGATCACCCCTTTGAGACTCTATTCTTCGCAGTCCTGCAGTCTCCCTCCACAGCACATGGGCAGGTCTGCTGGGTTAGCATCTCCACATAGAATCATAGACCTGGAAGAGACCTCAGAAGGTCATCAAGTCCAGCCCCTTGCCCAAAGCAGGACCAATTCCAACTAAATCACCCCAGCCAGGGCTTTGTCAAGCCGAGACTTAAACACCTCTAGGGATGGAGACTCCACCTCCTCCCTAGGTAACCCATTCCAGTGCTTCACCACCCTCCTAGTGAAATAGTTTTTCCTAATATCCAACCTGGACCTCTCCCACCTCAACTTGAGACCATTGCTGCTTGACAGATGGTGGTCTTTGGAGCCTTCAAAAAAGTAGGGGACAACTGATGATTTCATCACAGGCCAGTCTGCTGGGTCTGCTCTGGAAAGAGACTATTTGGATGTTGGCTCAAAGCGCTCTTCTCCACTGGTATTTCTGCAGTGCCAGTGGGAGGGTAGAAGCCAGAGGCATACTTCATATGTGAGAAGCGGTTATGTGACATTACAGACTGAGATGCCAACATGTTCACTTTTCCTAAAGTGCTGGATTCAGAACCAGGGGAAAAAGTCAACTATTGGAGACTCCTCCAGTTCTGCGATGAAGAGAGAGAGAAAGTGAGACTATGAGCAAAATTAATGCAAGTCAAGAGCTATTCCAGGTGAGCATCTCCACGGGTTAAGGGCTCAGGCGCTAACAGGAATTATGCAGGTATGCGTCGCGCAAGGTAGAGCAAGGGAGAGCAGTGGTGCGTCCTGGCTGTGTCCTGGCTGACTGACTCAGTGTCCTTGTAGTGGGCCAGATACAGAGGGCAGAGGGGAAAGGGCTAAAGGATAGAATTCCCGCAGTTATGGACCGTAGTGAGTGGGAGCTCACGCTGGGTTTTTATTGTTCCGCGCTTGCAGAGGAATCAGTGCAGGGCCATGGCCAGAGAAGAAACCGTCCGAGATGGACTTGAGCTTCCTGGGCGTGATTCTCGGGACACGTGAAGGGTCTTCAGCCTTCGGCCTTCCCATGGCTCTGTGTGAGTAAGAGGTGCGTGCTTTGAAATCTTCAAGCGTCCTGGCAGTAGGTTTCTTCTGAGGCAGATAGCTTCCTGCTGGGGCACGGAGCCTGGGGGCTCGGGGACTGGCGAAGGGGCAGTAGTCGGTTCAACAGAGTGTGGATACGGCGGCAAGGCCTCCTTTCTCTCCGCGTTCCTGCAGCGGCAGAGGGAGGGAGGTGGCCGATGGTGGAAGGCTGCGGTGCGCTATAGGGGAGAAGGAGCGATGCCGCGTCCCTGCGGGCTGAAACGCTAAGTTGCCTGTTGGTTCTTTCCCCCTTTCTGGGTTCCATAGCAAGCGATAAGAAGTCAGCCCTCCCGGTGTCCTACCGTCTGGGGATGGAACGAAAAGGAGAACAGGGAGCTCGGGAGCTTGCTCGAAGCGAGGCGAGAACCGTCCGGCTGGGAGCGGAGAAGCCATCGCCGCGAAGGAGATAAGTGTCGGGTCTGGAACTCTGTCGGCTTACGTCCCAGTGGGTTCTAGGAAGGGAAGTCGCGTTTGCTTAGACAGCGAGTCCGAGCGGAGGTTCCCGAGGTGCTGCCTTGATTGTGGGAGAAACAGGGCTCCCGTTTGTCAGGGGCGCTAGTTTCTCTGCAATACGGTGTCCTTGTCAGCAGACGCTTGGCTCGAGGAGTTTAGACGCACGGTGGTAAGGTTTCTGGCTGCCTCTCATGTGTTTCTCTCTTGTTGCTCTCTCGTATTGGCCAATACGTTCCATCTGTCTGTGTTCCCGTCTGTGTCTTTGTCCTTGCTCTGCTTCTGCCGTGTCCTTCTACAGGACACTTGCAGGCATTCCAGGTGAGCATCTCCACTGGTTAAGGTCTCAGGAGCCAACGGGAATTCTGCGGGTAC